TCAGATAAAATGGTTAAACATTTTGCTGACCAGATGCAAGCTGAATTTGAAATGAGCCTCATGGGAGAATTGACCTACTTTCTTGGACTACAAGTCACACAGATGGAAGACTCAATTTTTCTGTCTCAAAGTAAGTATGCAAAGAATATTGTCAAGAAGTTTGGAATGGAGAATGCCAGTCACAAAAGGACTCCGGCACCTACTCATTTAAAGCTGTCCAAAGACACAAATGGGGCTAATGTGGATCAAAGCTTGTACAAAAGCATGATAGGAAGTCTGCTATACTTAACAGCCAGCAGACCAGACATTGCTTTTGCAATTGGAGTATGTGCAAGATACCAGGCTGAACCCAAAGTAAGTCACATCAACTAAGTGAAAAGAATTCTGAAGTATGTGAGTGTAACTTACAACTATGGCTTGTTGTACTCTCATGGATGTGAACCAATTCTGTATGGTTACTATGATGCTGATTGGGCTGGAAGTGCTGATGATAGAAAGAGCACCTTTGGAGGATGCTTCTTTTTGGGAAATAATCTTGTCTCTTGGTTCAGCAAGAAACAGAACCGTGTGTCTCTATCTACTGCTGAAGCTGAATACATAGCAGCTGGTAGCAGCTGTTCTCAAATGATCTGGATGAAACAGATGCTTACTGAGTATAATATCACACAAGATGTCATGACATTGTACTGTGACAATCTAAGTACTATCAACATTTCTAAGAATCCTATACAGCACAACAGGACCAAGCATATTGACATTAGACATCACTTCATCAGAGATCTTGTGGAAGAAAAGGTGATTAAACTGGAACATGTTGCCACTGAACTACAACTGGCTGACATTTTTACCAAGGCACTTGATGCTAGTCAATTTGAAAATTTGAGGGGCAAGCTGGGTATTTGCCAATATGAAGATATGTAGCAATTAATTTTGCTTAAAACAAGGGATGAAAGAGATATTTTAGTTAAGTCTATTCTGATTGGGCTAATCATTTGTTTCCCTATTTCTTTCCAAAATTTTAAGAAGTTGAATAGACATTCATATATCTCACTCCTCTCGCGTTTCTGCAACAATCTCCATTCTCTCAAACGAAGATTTCACTCTCGCTGTTACTTGTTTTCTAAATCACTCAAAATGTCTCAACAATCCATGTCATCATCCTCTTCAAAGGCGACTGCTTCTTCCGCATCCTCTGACAGCGAACCTAGGGCAATCACAAACTGTATGGATACTGATGTTCTTGAGATAACTCCTCTTCGTGAACTGGCAGATAATCCTACTAAGGTCAAGAAGCTGCGAACCAGACATGCAAGAAGATCACAAGCCTCTCCATCTGGTAAATCTTCTCAACCATCATCTTATGTTCCTCCAGAAATAGCAAATAGGGAAGGTTCTGCTTATGTTCATCAAGCTATTTCTAGACTAGTCACTAGGATTCTTAATGAGAATCACTCTGTACCTGGCATTCTGTACCTTTGAACCATGAAACTGCTAGTCCTAATGTAGAAATGGATCCAGATGTCACTCAGAATGTTGAGACACCTGATGACAACATTAGGAAATCTCCAGAAAAACATGATGATCACCATAACCCTACTGACAAGGCTGTTGAACCCCCGATTATTGATGTTGATGAAGAATACTCTGACAATGATTTAATTGCTAATATCAACCCTAGCATAGCTAGAAGGATGATGAGCAGAAAAGAAAAGCAGGATGCTACCAAAAGCCCCTCCAAAGAGAAGGCTACTGAAGTTGTTCATAAGAAAACCAGGTCTGTGAACAAGACTAGAGTAGAAGCTGAGAAGGATCGAAAAGTTGGATTGTCAAAAGGGAAGGGGAAGGTGAAAACTAGAGTACCTGTTGGTAGTCTCTCAAAACCTTTGAGACAACCAATAGCCAAGAAAAGGAAGAACCCTGAACCCTTTGAATCTGATGAGGAATCAGACTTTGAGTTTGATGTTGAGAGCAATGTTCCAGACATTCCTCTCAGGAAGAAACTCTCTTCTAGCAAAATGCCTAAAGTCCTTGAAGTTGCCATTGACAACATCTCCTTTCACCATCCAGAAAATGCAAACAGGTGGAAGTATATGTTTCTGAAAAGGATTGCCTTGGAAAGAGAGTTGAACAACAGTGTTATTGAGTGTAAGGAAATCATGGATCTAATCAAGACTGCTGGTCTAATGAAAATTGTGGTCAAGTTTACCAACTGCTATGAGATTCTTGTCAAAGAATTCATAGTAAATTTATCTGATGGTTGTGCTGATGGAAAGTCAGGTGATTTTAAGAGTGTGTATGTGAGAGGAAGGAAGGTGAATTTCTCTCCTTCTGTAATAAACAAATTCCTAGGAAGGCCTGATGATGCTTGTCCTGAGCTTGAAGTTACTGACAACCAAGTTTGTCAAACCATCACTGCAAAGCAAGTCAAGAACTGGCCATTGAAAGGGAAGCTAAATGCAAGCAAGCTAAGCATGAAGTTTGCCATACTGCATAAAATTGGTGCAGCTAACTGGGTTCCCACCAACCATAAATCCACCATTTCCACAGGTTTGGGAAGATTCATCTATGTTGTTGGAACCAGGACAAGCTTTGATTATGGCAAGTACATCTTTGATCAAACATTGAAACATGCTGGAAGCTGTGCTATTAAAGGCCCTATTGCTTTTCCCTCTCTCCTGTGTGGTATAATCATTGCTCAGTATCCTGATATACTAGTTGAAAAAGACTCTATATGCAAAAGATACCCTGCTCTTGGTTTGCACTATAAACTGTTTCAGGGAACACATGTCCCTGACATTGTTATGACATCTGCTGAGACATCAACTATCAAATCTCATTCCAAGAAAATTGATGTTATAGATGTGCTAAAAGAAACCTGCAGAGAGCTTGATACAAGAAAAAGGACTCTTGAGGAGCTGATTGCTAGACTAGAACAGGAGGAGAATGAAGAACAAAGAAGGGAAGAAGATGCTGATGAAGACCAGCATAATGCTGAAGATAGTGCTTCCTCGGAAGATGACAGTGCCTGAAGATCAGTATTGTTGAAAAGATTGCTGCTGGATATTGTTACTGCCAAATGACTTCTTATTATTTCTGTGTTTGTTTTTATAATTCCTTTTGGATGACTGTATAACTTAAAAGTACAAGTATCTCTGGCCTCTTTATGGCTAAAAAGGGGAGAAGATTTTGTGGTAATTTTGGTAGAATTAGACTTGGTAGCTGTTATTAAAAATTCTGCTGCATTGTAATATCTGATTGTCTAGGATTATTTAGGGGTTTTAGCCAAAAATTTGTCAAAGGGGGAGTTTGTAAGTATTTGTTGGTTGGCATTGTTTTTGGTAAAACCAGTTTTGTGAATGTCATGACTGATGTCATAACATTTTGGGATAAAGGTACATTCTGCAGAAAAAGAATGTCATACAGGAGCTACTCAATATGAGTGTTTAGCATGATCATTAAGCAATGATCATATTTATTGCATTCTACCAAAATCAGTGAACAAGATTCTTATTGTCATAACCAATGTTAAGACATCTTGTACTGATCTAACATTTGTGCAGATTTGTTATTCCTGAGATTTTTCAGGAATCTGATATGCTTCTCTGAGTTGGTGTTTACAGTCCAGATCAGATGCTCACGTGGACATTAGGTTAACCTTGCTTAACCCTAATCTGGTATGATGAAAGCCTAAGACCAAGTCTTTATGTTAACTTTAGTTAACCCTAGCTATTTTCATGGAAGCCCTAACTGAAGAATAGTCGGCCTATATATTCCTCATGAAGATTAATGGTGAAAGATACTTTTTGACAGAAGATCGATAAGGGATTGTATAGTTGTAACTACTGTGAGCCAAGCAATTATCATTGTGATAAGTGACTTGGAGTAGGATTTGATTGTAAGGGTTGTGTATCACTCAAAGCTTTGAAGCACGAGTGTTTGTGTCACTTGATTAAAGCTTTGAAGCAAATTCAAGTTAGGGTTGTGTATCACTCAAAGCTTTGAAGCACGAGTGTTTGTCACTTGATTAAAGCTGTGAAGCAAAATCAAGTGTGTGTACTGAAGAGTGTCTTCATAATCTCATTAATCAATAGTTTAGTATCACTGTTGTGATTGAGGGGGAGTGAGTAGGAACTCAGGTTTAAGTTGAACTTAGATTGAAGTTGCATTGGGTAGATCTTAAGTGAAGGAGATAAACTGGTTGGTTTATTCCTGGGTAAACAATTGATTGTGTTCTTTACTGCTTTTAAATTTACTATCTTGAAGTGTGTCAGATACGGTGTCATAACATTCACTATGACATTAAGTATCTGTTGCCAGAATTTCATTGTGTTTTGTAAAACTAATTTTACTTAAAATGAGTTAAAAATAAATTGAACGTAAACAAATTCAATTTCATATATTTAATTAAAAGTGAGTTGAATAATAAAATTTAATACGAAACTATAATTAAATTTAAAAGTTACAAATCTTTATCGAGTTAGAATCAATTCTAAAGAATAAATAAATTATACTCGAAGAGAGTCGAATATGTCAAAATGGATTTTACACGATTTCCTTAGAACTGTCCCAAACATGAACCAAACATAAAATTAATATGATCTATTATCTTTAACTATAGTTTTGTTTTATCCTTTAACTTTTAAAAGTTTCAACAAATCCTCATCCAACCAAATTCTATCTAAGTTAGGTAGCTAGTGTGAAGTAATTTGTTCCTCCCATTCCCATGAATATGATGGGAATCTAAACTATCAAAATAAGGATATTGAGCCAAGCAATTTTTCACAAATACAGATCACATACCCATTCCTATGAGTATGATGGAAGTATAAATCAATACATAAAAATGGACTAAAAATAAACTGTTTCATAGAAAGTACTGAAAACATATAATTTGTTCCTGACATTCCTTTGATATGCTTGAATGCACTATTCTATGACTTGTTCTTTTTTTATTAATTCGATTATGGGTTACAGAACTTCAAACTAAATTCAGCATTGCCTCAAGTAGTACTAGCCTCTTTTTTCTCTATCAGCTTCACAAAGTTGCGGACGATCGTCTTGCCTTCAGGAGTTATAATGCTCTCTGGATGAAACTGAACACCCTGTAGTTGCAAAGAAATGTAAAAAATTAATGAGCGAAAAAGGGAGAGTGAGTTACAGACACATGTTAGACACCAGACACACATTCGACCTGAAGTGTCGATGCTATGTGAATAAGTTGTTACCTGCATATACCGATATTTCTTGTGCCGAACAGCCATTATGAGACCATCTTCAGTCCATGCTGTTACCTCAAGTTCTTCATGAGGAAAGCTCTCCTTTTCAATCACAAGGCTGTGATATCTTGCAGCCAAGAAAGGACTGAAAATGATATTGAAGTTAATGAAACCAACCAATTATAGTTCAAAATTGCGGTACGCAATTGCAATCGCAATCACAATATAATGTGGTTTTTGAGATTTCCGCAACGATATCACAGTCGCAATTACGGCCACATTGACTGCATTTTACGTCAACATAAAGGTTCATCACAACATTACTGCATTTGCGACACCAATCGTGGTTTAAAACTGTAAACCAGCCCTAAACTATATATTATAGTGTATGAAAGAAAAGATAACAACAGATAACGCTTTGCAAAAATATCGTACAAAAGTAATAAAATTTAAAACCTACTTTGGTAGTCCAGCAAGTAATCCATCTTCTCCTTTCTCGTCATAATAAACCAGCGAACTTTTTCCATGCATCACACCATTAGGAGCACGGACAATTTTCCCTGCACGAGATAAAAGAACTAGTCTTTATCCAATTGAAAAACTACATACAAATATGTCGAGATAATTTTACATTGAATGAGCCTGATCGTTAGAAGTTATCACTAATTAATATGACTCACCGCCAAAAGCCTCTCCCATGCACTGCAATCCCATGCATACACCAAACACGGGTACAGTCGGTCCAAGTTCCAAAACTGTTTGCAAAGCTATGCCTGAATCTTGAGGTGTTCCTGTTAAGGAGGAAAAAATGTACATTAGAAGTCTTTGTGTTTAAAAATAATAAAAATTCTGTGAACGCAATCTCTACCTGGCCCGGGTGAAATCAGAATTCCTCTTGGATTTTTTCTGTTGAAAATAAATAAAGAACATAATTGCTTATTTCATCTGAAACTTTACGGAATATGTATCATACCAAAAAAGCTTCATCGATAAGAAAATACTAGACATGCATAAACAGCTAATGATTTACCTCTTCAACTCCTCCACTGTTAACTCATCATTTCGATAGACCTCATAGTGAAATCCTACCTCGCCCAAATACTTCAAAAGTAAATGAAACAATATTAGAATAATCAATTTCGTTAAAGTACAATAGAAGATTACATCCAAAACCCTTAGCTCTTGAAAAAAGGCGCGAACAATCTCAAACATGTTACGATTCTTCTGGTATATTTTATGGAAATTTTGAGACTCTCTTACATTAAATCACAACTGCTTGAAAACAGCAAAATCTCACTTTCCTGCAAATTCCACAATTCATCATCGCAGCCATGTCACGACACAGATGCAGCAGCATTGCAAGTTTAACGCAAACCCTAGTTTTGGAGATTTGCATACCCAAATTAGAACACAATCTCGCCGGGTTTGCCAATTCCCCACACATTCAAGGTCTTTAGGGTTTTCACCAATCATCACGTCATAGACACAATTGCGCCGGCATTGCAATTTCCCTCAACATGAAAGATAATAACATAACCAGAATCACAATTTAAAACACTTTAACTTAACTATCCATTTTTTTTCTTCAAATTTGAACAATTTTAAACACATTTCAACAATTTCTACAAATCAAACCCTTTACAATTCTTCAAAAAAACCATTCAAATCCCAACAATTTCACCATTAAAACACCGATAATCAATACCCAAACATTTTCCACACAAAAAAACTAACACATACATCAGATTCATAACTCATCAAGCTTAATTCATCATTTTACAACACAAAAACAGAACAATTAAATCAAAGAAAAAACCACACAAACCTGACAAAGATTATAAGTAAAGCTGTCATAATTATCAATAACAACAATTGGATCATTGGATTTTCCGACAGAAACAGCTTTCTTCGAATTGACTTCCACCACACCTGAAGTCGCTTTCAGCACAACCCCATTTGCCCTTTTTGCCTCAAAATTCAAATCTACCAAAAAAAATTCAAACTTTACATCTAAAAACAATTAACTGATATAAAAAAACAAAACAAAACAAAAATGAGTATTAGTAGTAAACAGTACTTGAGGGAAGTTGTTTGTGGCTTATGAGAGGCTGGTGAAGGCAAGGAGATTGCTTAGGGTTGAAAGAGAGACATGGGTTAACTTGAAGATGTGAAATGCGAGAGATGAATGTTGAAGACATTGTTTGCTTATTGTACCCCCAAGTCTCACAGTAGTGTATCTACTGAGTGATGTTTATGTTTTCAAAAACAACTTATTTAATTATTTATAACGGTTTACACTAATTGAATATAGAAAAAAAATTAATACAATGTAGATACATCGTCTCTGAATCGAAGTACTAAGACATAAAATCGTATATTAGAAGATATACATTATTTTTGGATTGGAGCACCAAAACATAATTAGAGTATGTGATTGGATTACAACTCACTAATTTTTTTTTTTTTTAGAATTTCATTGATCTTATTCAAATTAATATGTATGTTGAAAAATAAGAATGATGAATGCATTTGATAATATTAAAAAAATTATATTATGATAGTAAAAATTTCATAATCATATATTTATTTTAGTAGAAATTCTTTTAAATTTTAGTCGATCATTTTGATCTGCCGCAAGTTTTGTCTAAGTTTTGATTTGCCGTGGGTATATTTTATGTGAAAATTTAAATTTAAATTTAAAAATATTTTTGTTACGATTAAAAATATATATATAAAAAAAATATCAAGACATACACTCATTCATATATTATAAGATAATTTTCTTTGGACCGAACCACCAAAACATAAAATAATATATTAAGATTTGTCATCAAATTTGAATTCACTAGTTTGTTTGAAAATTTTATTGATCTAATCCAAATTAATATGTATGTTGAAAAATAATAAAGATGAATGCACTCAAAAATTTAAAAGATAATTTATAAAAATAAAAAAAAATTATAATAAGATAGTAAAATTTTGTAATCATATATTACTTGTAGTAGTGATTCTGCTAAAAATTTATCAATCATTTATTTTTTTTCGTTATTATGAACTAATAATTTGTTGCGAGTTTAATTTTGGTCTTAATTTGCCGCGAGTATATTTTATATTAAATTTTAAATTTAAATTTTAAAAATATTATATTTAGAAAAGGAATATAAAAAGAATGCCTATGAAATTATATATTAGAAGATATACTTTTATCTGGATCGTAACACCTAGACATAAAATGACATATTGAAGTTTGTCAATAAATTTGGTTTCACTGATTTGTTTGGAAATTTTATTGATTTTATCCAAATTAATATGTATATTGAAAAATAATAAGAATGAATAAATAATAAGGATGAATGCACTTTAAAGTTTAAAACATAATTTATTAAAAAGATATAAATTTAAAAAAAAATTATATTACGATAGTAAAAATTTCATAATCATATATTTATTATAGTAATTCTGTTAAAAATTTAATCAATTATTTATATTTTCGTTATTATAGACTAGTGATTTGCCGCGAGTTTGGTCTTAATCTTGATTTATTGTAAATATATTTTATGTTATATTTTAAATTTAAATTAATATTCTTTTTGTATTTAAAAGGTTGGAATATGAGACTAATTTTGAATCTAGAGTCAATTAGATCAATATATTATTAATATATTTTTATTTTATATATATATATATATATATTAAAAAAATTATCATCTATGAAAAAATACCTTGAATGTCTATTTTTATGAATACTGTGCAATGATTTTACTTTTCTGCAAAAGGAAAAAACAAGCATACCAAACATATGTTTTTGGGTTCAATTCATTTGGATGATTTAAAAATGGAGATTAATTTGGTTACCTGAATTTTACTACAGCAAATATTAGTAATCATATTAATGTATATGACAAGCCTTTTTTATTTTATAAAATAACATTGTTCTTGTGTTATAAATTAATTTTTTTGACTGTATGTTAGACTTTTTAGCGGAGGATATGTTAGACTTTCAATCTTGAGTAATTCATGTTTTTCTAGAATTTTAACTAAAAAGAAAGTTAATTAATAATTAATAAGATCATAAAATATCTCTTTGGAGAATACCTCTTTTGTGTCTGAATCTGATTCTGCTTCATCTTGAGGATGGATCCTTTCAACAGACATTCCAGCTTGAGCCATCAGTGTCACGTTAGCACATTCTTCTTTTGAGTCATCATCTGAAGAGTCAGAATCATCCCAAGTTTTCATCAACCCTTTCTTCTTTCTCTTGAGAGATTTCTTCTTGGACTTGTCCTTCTGTAGTTCAGGACAATCATTCTTGTAGTGTCCTGGTTTGTTGCACTCATAACAAGTGACTTCTTTGCCACTAGAATTCCTCTTATCAGAAGCAGACTCGAAGCGACCTCCTTTCCTTCTAGTACTTCTAAACATGTTGTCCTGATTTCTCTTCTAGAGACGGTTAACCCTTTTGGACAGTAAAGAAAACTCATCTTCATCTTCATTAGAATCTTCTTCTGAATCCTTGGTCTCTTCAGCTTGAAGAGCTTTGGACTTCTCAGATTTTGTGAAAAATTTGAGCGCAATAGATTTCCCTCTATTCTAAGGTTCATCTTGATCTAGCTCAATATCATAAATTCTTAGAGAACTCACCAGTTCTTCTAGAGAAGTGTTGTTAAAATCCTTTGTAAGTTTGAGCAGTTACCATAGGCCTCCATTTGAATGGGAAGCTTCTGATAATCTTCTTCACGTGATCTGCTGTTGAATATCCTTTGTTCAAAACTCTCAGTCCTGCAACCAAGGTTTGAAATCTTGAGAATATCATCTCAACTGTTTCATCATCCTCCATCTTGAAGGCTTCATACTTCTAAATCAAGACCAAAGCCTTGGTATGACTTAATAATTTCCTTCATGACTCATTTTGAGAGAGTCAAAAATAGACTTAGTTGAGTCTCTATTTGTGATCTTCTCATACTCAGTGTAAGAGATAAAATTCAGCAAGATAGTTCTTGCTTTATGATGATTCTTACGATTCTTCTTTTGTTGATCAATCATAGCTTTTTGCTCAAGCTTCTTTATATTTTCATCTATAGGATATTCATAGCCATCGACTAACATATCTAGAGATCAACATATTGACGTAGAAAAAAACTTTCTAGTCTATCTTTCCAGTACTCAAACTTTTAACCATAAAAAATGGGAGGTTTAGCATTGTAGTTATCTTTATCAGAAACCAGATCAGGTGGTGGTGGAACAGGATCAACCATAGTGTTTCTAAAACTCGCCGGGATCTTTATCTGACACGGTTAAGTGTTTGATAGATATCAACACCAGAATTAGAGCTCTAATGTCAATTGAAGGTGTGAGAAACACAAGAAAAAGGGTTTGAATTAGGTTGCACAAAATATAATCTTTTTTTAACTCAAAACACAAAGATAACTAGTTGTTGTACCCCACAATTTTCCCTCTCAATTTCTCATAAGATTCTCAAATTGCTCAAAATTGCATAAGGACTGATCAGCTCAAGACACTTCCTCAACGCTAATGACTCAAATTAGGATTTTGGTTTGGACAAGGATAATGGATTTTTAATGCCTCATATGAATTGCATGGATCATTTTGGACCTCTAAGAACGCTCATGTCAAATTTCAAGTCTTACAGTTCAAGTTTGCTCAGTCAATTGATCAGTTGACCTAAAATCAATTGTATTGGGCAAAAAGTCAACTATGGTCAATTCACAATTAAACGTCATAATTTTTTTGTTAAAATCAACATGTTAAACTCATATATGTCAATTGGTCAAATTTGGATCACAAATCCTCAAGAAATTTGATCAAATCACAAAAAGGGCAAAATGGTCAAAATCAGGTTTTTGACTGAGAAGGCTTGATTTTAGACTTTCAACCCAAATACATGACTTGATGGTTTGAGACATGATATCAAGAATCCAAATGCATCATTTTGACCTAATGGTATGGTTCAAAACATTTCTCAAGATTAATTGATTGATAATTAAAATTTGGTCAACTGATAAAAAAGTCAATTGTACACTGAAAAGTCAAACTTTGACTTTTAGATCAAAATCAAGTTTCAAAAATCACATTTCATCAAGACATGTCAAATTATGAAGATTGTTCATTAAGAAATCAAAATTCAAGATTACTTAGAAAAAAAAGTCAAAGTTTTAAAAACTTAGAAATTTTTCTAAGTGTTAAGAACTTTATGATAATTTCATAACTTTGGGCCAGATTTCATCATGATGCAAGATGATTCAAGGATAACTTCCAACATGAAAGTTGTAGACCTCAATAAGATCTAAAACATTATAGGGCATAACTTCTTCTAGAAACGCTTGGATCTCAAGTTATAAACCCATGAAGACATGCCCATGGAACTAAAACACTTAGTAAAATTCTGGGTGTTTTAAGTTAGAATTTTGACAGAACTTCTGGGCCAATTTACATACAGTTACAATGAGAGTTTGCAAAAGTGATTCAAAGAGGGTTGCAGAGCATGTTATAAGATTTCTGAAAAGTCCAAGAACTCTTTCAGATCATGCTGGAGCAGGGAGAATCGGAGATCAGAAGTTGGACATTCATTATAAAATTATGAGCCACTTTCATGATGAACATCTGATCCAATTCCAAGCAATGCTGCATAATCCCACTTTTCAGGCCCTTTAACGTGTGTATCTATCCTCAATCAGAATATTACACAAACTTCTGAGCTATGAACCACTTGATTTAAGCTTTGTCCAATACACCTTGCCATTTAAGGAAGAAAGTTCACACTTCCATTCTGGAAAAGTGACTTTAATCACAAAGTCCACTCTTCTTGAGCTTTGTGTTTGTTCTTTCTGCACAAGCATCCCCTACAAACTCATAAGATGCATGTTTAAAGGTGCTATCCATCCTACCTTGCCTTGTAACCATGCTTGTCTAAGCTTGCTTAAAAAACCAGTCAAAATCCACAACATTTGATTTTGTACTTCTGATTTCACCAAGCTTTCAAACACTTTGCCTATAAATAAAACTTTCATTTGCAAACTGAAAAAATATGGGATAAGCCCTGAAACTCACTAAAACTCCCTAGAACCAGGAACTGTAACACAAGCACAAAAACTTGTCATTTCTGATTTTTGAATCCAATCTCCAAAATCCTTCGTGTGTTTCTTGGTCAAATCATCCACAAAGTTTCTGAAACACATAT